CATCTCAACAGTTTCAAAATGGGAGATAGTGGATTTCATTTCATTTATAAAAAGTTTAAATTAACAAATTTAGTTTTAATAAGGTCCCTTTTTCCTTTTGAAAAATGGATCATTACCTTCTATTACCTAGTTTGTATTAGATTGTTCTCTATTTTATTTTAATGCAAATTTTGCATTTCTTCAAAAAAGAAGAAAAAAAAAACTAATTACATTGAACTATTTGTGATTAGAGCCATAATGATAACTTTGTCGCCAATCTAAAAGGAGCCACATTTTTTTAATGAATAATTCCATATATTAAAATTTCATAAACACATAATATGTTATATATATGATTCATTTCGGTCTATTCTGGCCTAGATTGTGGCTGGCTATAGGGGAATAAGTGGCTTGAACTCGACTAGTGAATGAGCTTGTTAGGCGAACTTATCGAGCAATGAGCTTTGGTTCAAGCTCACATTAGAGCTCAAGGTCGAGCTCAACAATAAAAAGCTCTTTGGTTTGCGAGCGAACTCGTATATATAATAAGCATTAATTTTTTCTTATATATATATATCTTGTCATATGATGCTTAAAAAAAAAACCATGACAGGACTTCCAAAGTTTTGTTGGTATCATCACTCCAATATAATTTTTTTGCAATGAAACCCTCTTCTTCTTCCCGAGCTCAACATCTTCTTCATGGCGACTTCCTCCTTTTTCAAGTTAGTTGGTGGCATGACTTCCTAATTTCTTTGGCGAGCTAAGCTCACGAGTTAAGCTTGAATTTGCTATAACTCTGATGAGCCAACTCACTATATGAGCTCGATTAGAGGGCAAGCCTGTCTTTTAGTCAATTAAACTCGATTTAGCTCTAACTCAAGCTTTACTCAATTAACTTACACCTCTAAATAGTTGTTCCTTGATGGTGATCTAGCCCATCCCAAATCAAACTCCACATTAAAAAACAAAAACAAAAAAAACTAAAAATTTGTAAAAATAAAAATTGATAAATATTAAAATCCTTATGATATTATATTCTTAAATAAATTTAAAAATATTTTTTAAAAGCTTTACATAACTCAAAAACATGCACTTTTCCAAAAAATAAAAATAAAAACGCAACAACAGCCGAAAGGACCAATCGCGCAAAATCTCAATAACTCCACCACCTCCCTGTTCACCATGAAAAGCATCATCCCTGCTCTCGTTGCGTTCTCTGATTCCACCGCTTTCTCCTCGCATTTATTGATCTCCTCACACGTTCACGTTTCTCTCTCTCTCTCTCTCTCTCTCTCTCTGTCCATTTGCACCATCTAGCTATAAGAAAACAAAGCGAAGAAAGAGGCAATATGAACATAGATGGAAGCCATGGCTCACACATTTCCAGTGACAGCATTCAATCTCCGGAGCTACTGACGGAAAGCACAAAGCTCATAGCTTTCTCTCCTTCTTCCCCCTCCCGATAGTTTATGGACAAAACTCGTCTCCTGGGCTTATTGGA